TTTTCAATACTCAAGTTTCCAGTCTTCGAGTAGCAGTTATCTCTCCCTTTCTTGTTACAATTGTTGCAATTCTCTTTGTTACAATTCTCTTTTAATATTCCAAGTTTTTAAAAAAGTCAAATTCTTACATGAAATAGAGAAGAAAGAGTAAAAGACACATGTAGTGATGACTACATAACACACCGACCAAAACCATCCAAAGCTTAATTCTGCTGTTTATTTCTTTTATTCTTAGATTTAAATTAGCTTTAAGTTTTTTTACAGGCAGGCTCTTTTAAAACGGATAAAAATTTCTCACCAGCTGTAAATACTTTCTCTTTCGTTTTCTTCCATTTTGGAGCTGTTCCTACTTCATCAGCCTGGGGGCTGAGCTTTTAACGCCAGCTGAGAGACCTTCTCCTGCATCAATCAGGGACTTTGCGATGGCCCTGTGATCAGCAGAACGTAGTCTTCCTGTTCACTGTCTCTATGGGACGGTTTAGGTCCGATTGGACCACCCAGCGATAAAAGTATTGGCGGCGATCTCAAAGCATCGAGATCCGGCGACCATTTCGTAGCGACATAGGCTTCTCCTCTCAGGCCTCAGGGTTTTGATTGATTGGATCTGTACCTTAGAATTCTGACAGGTGTGGGGGCTTGCATGTGTGGGCAGGACCATATACAATAAGGGTCAGAAAAGTCAAGATGGCAGCTGTGATGGCAGGAACAAAGCCCACTGCTTTCTTATTATACACACTGTAGAGTTACAGTTGTCAGCATGACCTTTTTAACCCTGCATCTGTGATTATAAGGCTGTGGAATAAACAAGGACACTGTACTCTTGAGTTGTATTCTGCAGTGTAAGAATCCCTTTCCTCCTTTCTTTTAAACAATGTGTTTCAAAGACGATGGAGCAGTGATTGGATTAACCACAAACCCGATTTCTCAGCAAGCTCTCTTTTGGAGGGGGCGGGGGCAGGCTGAGAAGGGCAGAATTCTTAGAATACCAGCTGTTTTCCGGCACACAAGATCAACATTTCCATGCAACATTTTTGTTGCTACAGAAACTGGGCTCTCTTACCAGAACATGTGTCCTGCACCCAAGACCCATTGCCAACATGATTAATTTGAGAACCCATCCCACCCTGTCGAAGATAATCTCTTTTCTGTCTATTTTGTTAAAGGCACATGGTGTACTCCCTTGCCTCTACTTTGCAGGCAGGTCACAGAGAATGCATCAGTTTTAAAAGCATTGTTGGAAGTTGCTAAGCAGCAGGAAAGAAGAGGAAAATAGGGTAAAGAGAGCAGAGTCCTTATCAAAAGCTGTTCTGGTTGTTCCCTAATACAAGTAGTCCCCAACTTATGACTGCATTCTGGGTGCTCAGCAATCAGTCCCTATTTATGTCTGTTGTAGCAACTCACAATCATATGACTGTGATTCATGATCTTTTTGACATAACTCAGCGTTTACTTCCAGTGTCAGGCCACAACTACCCTGCACCAAATCATAGGCTCATTTCACCAGGGTTCCAAGTAACACATCCATATTACACAGAACTCCTACCCAGGTAAATTCATCAAAGAACAGTTTTATTTGGATATAACATATTGGCACATATGGTGAAAGCCGATTCTGAATGTTCCCCCAGTTTTCACCTAATTAAAAGTAAAAGTTTTCCTCCTTCCCCAAATAATCAGTCACATGGTCCCAATCAAGGTGTTGTCCAGTTGACTGGTAACTTCACTCTTCTTCTCTCCGACCACCTGTGGGAATGTCCTTGGTTCCCAGGAGAAAGTATTTTGTTTTGGCTACAAAGCCCAGCTATCTCTATTCCCCCTTCTCTATCCCTTAGCTCCAGTGTGGCAACACTGAAGCTTCAAAATGGCCTTGGCCAGGTCAGCTTCAGGGTTGACACATGGCGTCCGCTTAATGACTGTTGCTAAAAAGGCTGTAAAATGGGCTGCCTGGGGAATTATGGGAGCTGAAGTCTACTTCCTCTTAAAATTGCCAATCGAAAGACTGCTTTAGGTCAATGATGCCAGTATCCTTACAAAATGTCTATCTTGCAAATCCTACCTCCATTAAACAATGAACATCCCATAAGCCATGTAGCATGCAAATACACTCACCTCTTTGGAAAGGCGCATGAAGAGGTCCCCCCCTCTGAGAAAGTCGAGGATGAGGTACACTTTCCCTTCTGTTTGGAAAGCTGAAATGCAAGGCAAAGAACAGAAATCAGCATTCCCTAAACAATTGGGGCAGCCAATTGCAGTGGTGGCCTTGCATCATGGAAGCTGGGGAAGGCTAAATATGCTAAACCTGAGGCATTCTTCCCCAAACTGCATGGCTTTCAGAGCAGAGGTGGTATTCAGCTGGTTCTGACCAGTTCTGGTGAACCAGTAGTGGAATTTTTGAGTAGTTAGGAGCAAATACCACCTCTGACTGGCCCCGCCCCCGTCTACTCTCTGCCTCCCGAGTCCCAGCTGATTGATTGGGTCTTCCTTTGTTGCCCTGCACAGGAGAACGGAGCTGGAAAGCAGGTTGATGGGGTGGGGAGGGAATGGGGACTTTGCAGTATCCTTCCCCTGCCACGCCCACCAAGCCACACCCACAGAACTGGTAGTAATTTTTTTGGGATCCCACTACTCTTCCAGACATATAATCTTCAACTTCCCAAATTCTCAGAAATGGCTATGCTGACAGGGGCGCCCTAGGAACTGAGGTTCATAGTGAAAATGCACATGCAATGACATCAGTGATGACATAGTCCTCGACGTACGACCACAAATCGGAACCAGAAACAATGCAGTTGTTAAATGGTGTCGTTCTGTTCTGTTATTTCTGTTCTATTTACACTCCTTTCATTTCTTCCTTTTTATTGTTCTAAGCCGCCTAGAGTAGCCCCAGCTAGGTGGCAAATACATTTAGCAAATAAATAAAAATGATCATCCCATGACCACGCCTGATTTTATGACCGTTTTGCTGTGGTGGTTAAGCAAATCACATGATTGTTAAGTAAATCGGGCTTCCCCGGGCTTTGCTGATTGGAAGTCAGCTAGGAAACTTGCAAATGGTGATCACGTGACACCCGCCCCCGGGCGCTACAACGATTATAAATACAAGCCGATTGCCAAGCGCCTGGACTGCAATCACATGACCACAGAGATGCTGCAACAAGTCATAAGCGTGAGGACCATTCATGAGTCACTTTTTTTCCAGCATTGTTGTAATTTTGAACAGTTGCCAAATGAATGGTTGTTAAGTCAAGGACTACCTGTACATCAGGGGTGGGATTCAGCCAGTTTGGACTGGTTCACGCGAATCAGTAGTTCCGGTGATTAGCTGGCGCCGCCCACCTGCCCCTGCTCTATTCCATCCTATATTTCCTTTGTTTGAAGCCCAGCTGATAGGCGCGGCAGAGCGGATTGCAGCGCCTCATCTGTTTTACTCACCGGGGCTGCAGCAGAAGGTAAGTTTTAGAGCTGTTTTGAAATGAACTGCGTGTGCACAGAGCGCGCTTTGGCCCGTGCGTGAGCAAAGCAAACCGGTTGTTACACCAGTTGAATCCCACCACTTTTGTACATACATCATCATTAAAATTTTGTGGTCCCTTTGGCAAGAATTTTAGCGTTAATCTGGCAAGGTTGTTCATGCTTGTGTCATTTGTTCCTCCCAATTCCACATCCAAAGATGCCTATGGGCGCAATTTCTTTTATACTTTTAAGCAGCTTTTCGTAAGAATATGTTTGAAACATGTGTTGCTTTGCATGGAAAAGTCCTAGAATATTAATGTAATGCTTTTAATTTTTTAAAATTTATATTAAAGTTCATGTGGACTTGCTTGAGCAGAAAAGCAGGGCACACCAATAGTAAACAACGCATACTGTAAATCAGAGGTCTCCAAACTTTTTGGCAACTTTAGATTAATGGGCTGCAACTCCAGGAATTGCCTAGCAGCTGAGGAATTCTGGGAGTTGAAGTCCACAATTTTTAAAGTTGCCACGGTTGGGGACTCCCGCTGTAAATAAATAAACACCTCAACCAGAAAACCAACTGCATCTATGCTCATGCTAGTTGGGAACTTTAAATAATTACCTGTTCGGACTCTGCTCGGTCTCTGCTACTTGGTAGGGTGGAGACTCTGCTCTACCCTACCAAGTAGCCTACAAAAAAGTCACTTGCCTGTGATTTACTTTCCTCCACAAATCAAGAAGACGGAGCCTTGTACTCACCATAATGGAGTTTCACGATGAACGGGTGGTTTACTTCAACGAGAATATCTCTTTCCATTTTGGTTCTTGCACGGTCACGCACTATCAACAGAGAAGAGCCCAATTAAGGTGGAGTAGATCTAAAAAAAGTGCACAGCACCAGCCCCAAGACACAAGTGCAATCCAAAGTTGGCAACTTGTGGGCCATATCGGTGAAGCACGGAGTCAATCATTGTTTAAAGGAATATTATCAAACAGAGGCTAGAAGCAGGGATCTCCAAACCTGGCAACTTTAAGACTTGAAGTTGAAGTTGAGAGACCGCCTCCTGCCAATCACCTCCCTACGACCAATTAGATCCCACAGATTAGGCCTCCTCCGAATACCATCCGCTAGCCAATGTCAACTGTCGACCCCCCGGGGGAGGGCCTTCTTTGTGGCTGCTCCGGCCCTCTGGAACGATCTCCCCGTGGAGATCCGGACCCTCACACCCCTTCCAGTTTTCCACAAAGCCACTAGGACCTGGCTGTTCCGGCAGGCCTGGGGCTGACGAGTTCCCCACTTAAACTGTTGTGCCTGTTGTTTTGTTTTAACTTGTTTCTCTTGTGTTCTGTTTG